CTCTCTCTCTCTCTCTGTCTCTCTTTCCTCTCTTCCTTTCTCTCTCTCTTTCTTTCTTTCCTTTTCGGAGACAAAGTCTTGCTCCCTCACCCAGGCTGGAGTGCAGTAGCTCACTGTCACCTTGAACTCCTGGGCTCAAGCAAACCTGCCAACCTCAGCCTCCTGAATAACTAGGACTATGGGTGCGTACCACTGGCTAATGTTTTTAATTTTTTGTACAGACACGGTCTCACTGTAGTGCTCAGGCTGATCTACAACTTCTGGCCACAAGAGATCTTCCCACCTCCCAAAGTGTGGGGATTACAGGTGTGAGCCACCGCGCCTGCCCGCATTGTGTTTTCTTATTCTCCAATCTGGACCCTGTTCCCCTCATGCTGCTTATGCCGCCCTCTGTATTTGGGATGATTTCTGTTTCTTATCCACTAAGAAACCACCTTCATCTCTCATACTGTCTTCAAATCTCTCCTCTTTCATGACATTTTATTAGGCTGGGGGAATAGGTGACAGTTCTTGTTTGACTCAAACCTACTTTTCTTAGAGTGCAGCATCAGTCTATTGTAAGATAAATTAAAAAAAAAAAAAAAAAGGTTTTGCAAGCCAATCTGTTATCACACAGAGCCTAGTACCTAGTTGTGTTAGATTTTTAAGCCACTCCCAAAAACCAGACTTTTGCTGTGATCATTCTATTGCAACCATTCTCATTAGGTTCCCAGTGAATCCCACCACCCCCATACTAAATTCAGTGATTAATTTCCTGGTCTCATTTTGTTTGACTTCCCAGCAGCATCTGACTTGGTTGCCTCCTCCCTTCCTTTTGAGTGAATAGCTTTCTGTTCCTCCATGATGTCACCTTCCCCTGGTTTTCTGTCTCCTTCAATGGCCACTCCTTCTCAGTCTTTTGGCTGGCATCTGATCTTCTTACCTGTTATTGTTGCATGTCCGCAGCTCAGTGCATGGCTGTCTTCTGTATGTGCGTCCACTCTTTTGGTGCCTGCATGCTGTCCTGTGAAGTTGAATACCACCTAGATGCTGATGGTGAACTGAGATATGTCTCTACCTCCTGACCGCATCATGTTCACACGTCCCACATTGTATCTGATAGCCCTTTCTGAATGTCTAGTAGACATCTCCAACTTAACATGCCAAACACACAGCTCCTGATCCCCAAGGAAGTTCAGACTCCTATGAGAAATGTTATTGTATCTATAACTCACCATTCCTCAGCCCCATGTTCCCAAGGCTAAGCTAGCTAAATATAGCAAATTGTCATTGATAAAGAGGCAATATACTTTAAAATATAAAATGTGATACATGTATGTTGTATGTTGAAAATTGAATGATATCAGGAACTATCCATATTTTTATTCACTAATAGTAAGATCTAATGGTTTCTTTTGTGCCAGGTACTAAGTGTTTCACACATTTTATGTTATTTAATCCTTTCTGTAATCCTACAGGTAGATACTATGGCCCTTTTTTTTTTTTTTTTTTTTTTTTTGAGACAGAGTCTCGGTTTGTCACCCAGGCAGCGGCACTCTCTCAGCTCACTGCAACCTCTGCATCCCAGAGTCAAGCGATTCTCCTGCCTCAACCTCCCGAGTAGTTGGCATTATAGGTGGTGTACCACCACACCCAGCTAATTTTTGTATTTTTAGTAGAGACTGGGTTTTCACCATTTTGGCCAGGCTGGTCTCGAACTCCTGATCTTAAGTGATCCACGCACCTCAGCCTCTCAAAGTGCTGGTGTTACAAGCATGAGCCACTGCATATGGTCCCATTTTCATATCAGGAAATGATACACAGGGAGGTTAAATAACTTGTCCAAGGTCACAGAACTAGTTAATAATGGCTAAAATTTGAACCCAGACAGCCAACTATACTCTGAAGAGTCATGGTGGAAATTACAGTGCTATTTCCCACCCCAGGGTCTTGGGTCTATTCAAGGGAGATTCCATGCATTGTATTCTATTACTAGATGCTGTGGCATTTAACCTAGATGTGTATAGAACCCTCATGCTAAATGCTATGATGTGGTATCCTCATGAATGGATTAATGCTGTTATTGAGGAGTAGGTTGCTCACCATGAGAATAGGTTTCAAATGAAAGGATGAATTTGACCCCCTTCCTCTCTGTCTCTCTTACGTGTGTGCACATGCTCTCTTGCCCTTCCACCTTCCACCATGGGATGAAACAGCAAGAATGCCCTTGCCAGATGCAGGCCCCTTGACCTTGGAATCCCCAGTCTCCAGAACCATAAGAAAGAAATCTGTTCTTAAGTTCATAATCAGAATAGAGGACAATATGAGCAGAGTGCTGCTTCTGCTAACATAGGTATGGAATGTGGGACAAAGAATTCTCAGAGAGTGAGCCACTGGGAAGTCCTAACTAGAATATGTGGCTACTGTACCTTTCTACTTGACACAGTCCTTGAGAGAGTGAATCAGGCAATGAGTGCAAATCCTTCAGGCTTTTCCCTTGAGTGACTTGGTAGACACTCAGTTCATTGCATCACCAGGGTTCACATCCACAGCTTTGCACAGCTACCCCTTGGTCCCATGCCCACAGAACTGTGAGGCCTGCCTGTTCTTCCCACTGGGGCCTGTTGACCTACTAGCTCCCACAGACACAGACACAAGCCACTGGGCACTGAATTTTAAAAGCTGATAATGTAGCAGCTTTAAGCAGTGAAAAATATTAGTGTGGAAAAGAAAGCTGAGAAATCCAAGTCAGCTCTTGAAAAGCACTCATATCCATAAATACTTTATTGAAACTGTTATTTTCAGAAAATGCCCAATTTCTGTCAGAAAAAAAAGTAATGAAAAGTCCTTTTTTTTCTTCCAAACATATTGCATTATTTAGTCTAAAAAAAAGCAAAAAACTTCTCAAGGATGGCTCTTTTTGGTAAAAAAATTTTCAAACAAATGAGATCTTTTCTTTTTGGTATTTTTTAAGGATGGGTTTTTTATAAATATTATGCACAATGTTTTTGAAACGTTTCCTGTCCTCAATATACACCAATATACTTTGTGCTAAAAACTTTCCAGAAATATGTTTATTAAACAAAGAAATATATGCAAGACTGTATATGTTCTACTCATTTTGAGATAAAACATTCCCCTCCTCATCTTGCCTTTTGCTACATTATTTATCATGCTTTTTCACTTTTGAATAAAAGACCAATTTTTTACAAACACGAACTATCCAATCCAAATGTTAACGCTCATCTTAACTTACTTTCTTTTCTTTCTTTGTTTTCTAATCAGCAAACTCTATAAAGCCTGGTGTGTAAATAGGCAGTAAATATAATACGATTAAAAGATAAAACAGAGCAAAGAAACAATATCAGCCGATGTTTTGGGAGTTCCCACTTTTCTTTGTTTGCGATCACAAAAAGGAAAAGAGATATCAGATCTGATATATCTCTTTTCCTTAATTGTTATTTAGCACTGAAGACTAGTGGAAAAGTCTAGCCAGATGTTTTAAAATAGACACAAGATTTCAAGGAGCTTTCTGTTATATTAGCCTTAAGTGAGTTTATCTTTTTAGGGTTTAAATTAGAAGACCATTTCATTATTTGCTTAATGCACTGAAAATCTTTCATTTTCAAGGCAGGATCTCAGTAAAGAGGAATTCATATGACTGGAAGCCTAAAGTAGTGTTTCATAGTGAAAGCCACTCATACATGTACATTATGTTCAGGAAATGCAAATGCAACAAGAAGGTGACCCTGATAATGGTTCTTCCAACCGTCACAGTTCCTGCCATGCAGCAGAAATTCTGAAGCTCTTAAAAACTGTCAGACTAGGCATGCTTTTTAAAAAAGAGGAACAGAGAAATTACTTACATCTCAGAGTTCCATCGTGAGGCCTTGCCTCTCCACTCCACAGACCTCTGCCTGGCCACGGATCCTTCACCCTGGCTTGACAGCTGGTTTAATCTGCAAGCCAGGGTGGAATGCGTGGTCTTGCACTTGCTGTTCTTTTCCGTCTTCAGAGGGCCAGCGGCCTGGTCATTTCCATGGCAACCAGGAGGAAGCGGCTGGCCTACCAGTCTCATTAACTACACACAGGAGAGAACCTGCCTTGGTGACTTCTGGCCACTCTTTTGGGGTTCTAAACTGGGAAGTTTCTAGAAGAAACTGAGGAGACTGTTGCTGTAGGCTGATCCCAAAGGATTGACACAAATGGAAGAAATTCTACTTTAGCAGGAAATTGAATGGATTAAATGTAGAGTACGGAGACTCCTTGATACTTTTACTTTCATGATTTATTCCACCTTTTTTGGTCTGATGAATTGTTGCTTACGGTAAATGCCTGCATTACTGTAAAAAGTGTCCCATCGTGGTTGTTCCAAAGGAAAAAAAAAAACTCATTTGAACTCCAAAGATAGCCATTATTCTCTCTCTCTCTTTTTTTAAGTTCATTTAAAAAAAAAAAAAAATGAGAAGCCACAAAACCAATAAATAGGTAAAAATTATTCTATGTACATTAACTGATGTCTTAGTCCTTGTGGGCTTCTACAACAAAATACCATTAGTTGGGTAACTTACAAACAACACATTTATTTCTGTAGGCTGGGAAGACCAAGATCAAGGCAGATTTGTTTTCCGGTGAGGGTCTACTTCCTGATTCATAGATGGCACCTTCTAGCTGAGTCCTTACATGGTGGAAGGGAGACAACTGTGGTTTTTCAGCTTCTTACAAGGGCACTAATCCCATTTATAAGGGCTCCACCCTCATGACCTAATCACATTCCAACATCTCCACCTCCTATGCTATCACATTGAGGATTAGGTTTCAATATATGTATTTTAAGGGAAGATAAATACCTGGGCCTTAACAACTGATGAGGTCTCACTAAATACGGGAAAAAAGATAAGGCAGGGGACCCCAGTCTCCAGGCCACAGACTGGTACCAGTCCACGCTACAGCAGGAAGTGAGCAGTGGGTGAGCAAGAGAAGCAGCTTCATCTGTATTTACAGCTGCTCCCTATCACTCACATTACCACCTGAGCTCCGCCTCCTGTCAGATCAGCAGTGGCATTAGATTCTCATAGGAGCAAATTGAGAATGCTATTCTATTGTGAACCATTATGAACTGCGCATTCGAGGGATCTAGGTTGCATGCTCCATCTGAGAATCTAATGCCTGATGATCTGTTACTGTCTCCCATCACCCCCAGATGGGACAGTCTAGTTGCAAGAAAACAAGCTCAGGGATCCCACTGATTCTACATTATGGTGAGTGGTATAAGTATTTCATTATATATTATAATGCAATAATGATACAAAGTGCACAATAAATGTAACGCACTTGAATCATCCCCAAACCATCTCCTACCCCTGCCTGTCCGTGGAAAAATTATCTTCCATGAAACCGGTCTCTGGTGCCAAGAAGGTTGGGGACTGCTGAGATAAAGAAAAATCTTGCTAATTAAAAGCATTAAGAGACTGGAGCAATTGATTTGTAATTACCCAGATACAGATTCTCCAATATGTTAAAGAAGAGAGCACCTCAGTAGGGAAATTCATTCATTTATTATTCATCTAGTGAATCCTTACCATACACATGCACTGTGCCAGCAGATTTAAGGGGCACAGAGATCAATATCATGGTTCTTGTCTTTAAGGAAGTTATACTATAGAAGTGGCAATTGTATCAGTTGTGTCTGGGAAATGTTTGAAGGGAGGTATAGACACAATGCAGGGGAGTCTCAGTGAAGGTCAGCCTTTGCCAGGGAGACTGGTGAAGTCCTTGTGGAGAGGTAGTTTTGGATTTAGGCCTTAAAGGATGGCTGGGATCTGTGTGGTCAGTTGTGGGGGAAAGGACAGCAATCCCTAATGGAGTGATTCTTTGATGAATTGCAGATCCAAGCTGATGGATAAATCCTTCCTCCTTTCTGCACCCAGAGAGCCTGACACAAATGGCCTCTCGGGTGGCCCATAGAATAAAAGAACTCAAGTAACTAAGGAAATTGCTGGAGCAAAGGTTTGGAGGTGGAAGAGTCCCAGGCCTATTCAGCCATTTGGAAAGCCAGTGAATCATAGCCAGGACAAAGGGAATTGAGAATAGAGAGAGGCTGCTATTATTTAGTGATCAGTTTCAGCAAAGCACATGTATAAATTCTACCACGTGAGAACAGCAAAGTGGATCTTGGTTCAAACCTTGAGTCTGTTACCTTCTTGCACATTATTTAAACTTTATGAGCCTCAGTTTCCTTATCTATAAAGTGGGTATAATAATACTTTGTTGAAAGGTAGAACTGAGGAAAAAATGAGATAATATATGTGCACTGGATGCCTGAAGATGAGGGAGGGAAAGGCTGGCCAACGATACACCGAGTGCCCCACCTTTCCAGAGCAACTGTGGCTAATCCAATGGTTTGGCGTACTCAACCTCTGTTTCTACATCTTTCTTTCTTGCCTGCCTCTACTGTAGAGACTGGAAATCTCTATAATTCAACACACCAGAGTCTCTTGAAGCTGAGGTTTCAGATGGGATTTAAGTTTTATTATTTATACTTGACTCAGAACGAAGTCATGTGGAGAGAGGACCCTGAGACTTTGGGAATGAATTAAGTGAGGAGAGAGAGGAGAGTACTGGGAATCTCTTGCTGGCCAGGGTCTCAGCAGATATGGCACGGTCTGCGGTGGGGGTGGCCTTCTGACTGAGTTGTGGACTGGTTGTGGCCCATGTGGCATGGCTCAAGAGCTGAGAACTGTGGCACTAACTTCCTGTTGGAGAATGTGGCCTCTTAATTCAGCAACTTCCTGATGGTGGATCAGGTAGTAGCTCCCATGATGGTCCAATTCTGTGATGACTTTCAGAGTTCAGTCTAGAATCCATTTCTTCAGTCCTTCCAATGACTCAAGGAAGTATCTGCACATCTGAAGAAATTCCTGGTTGGTCTAAACCAGCCGGAGTAGACTCTTGTTGCCTGTAACCAAGAACCCTGCATTATATACTAGTGCTTTCATTCTGGCCAATACAAGGTGACAGAGTTTGGATATGTGTCCCCGCCCAAATATCATGTTGAATTGTAATCCCCAATGTTGGAGGTCGGGCCTGATGGGAGGTGATCGGATCATGTGGGTGGATTTCTCTTGAATGCTTGATACTGTCCTCACGATAGTGAGTTCTCGTGAGATCTGGTTGTTTAAAAGTGTGTGGCACTTCCCCACACCTATTCCTGCTTCCCCCATGGGACACACCTGCTCCCCATTCACCTTCTCCACAATCGTAAGTTTCCTGAGGTCTCTTCAGAAGCCAAGCAGATGCTGCTATGCTTCCTGTTCAGCCCACAGAACCATGAGATAATTCAACCTCTTGTCTTCATAAATTACCTGGCCTCAGGCATTTCTTTATAGCAAGGTGAGAATGCCTTGCTATAAAGAAACCACTTACAAGGTAAGTGGGAGTTTGCTGGTATTGTCTCTTCTACTCCTTTATTTTAATGACAAAGATAAGCAGCATAAGGTACTTAGTGTAAACCACGCACAAAGAAGGCAGCCAGAAATGGTAGCTATTATATTGATTACTCCTTGTCACTTTCTCTCTTTATGACCCAGATGCCTTCCAGGACCTCTTGCTTAGTGGGGTTCCTGGCTGAAGCAAAGAGTGTGAAGAGCCAGGTACTTCCCTGGAAACTTGAAAGCCAAACCCGCAGTTGCCGATGGAATGTGGCTCGGTCTCTGTATATGGCATGTTAAACATTTACCCCAGGTTTTATATCTCCTTGTCTTTTTAAAGCATTTACTTCCACTGGCTCTTTGTGTTAACTGGGTCACATAGTTTAAGTTGATTTAGCAGCAATGAGTATTGGGAAGGTTAATAAAACCACACCTCAGACTGCCTGTTTTGTTCAGCTGTGGAGCCAACGGGTGGCGGACAAGTGTTTGTTCACGATGAGATGGAATTCTAGCTTTGTCCTTGACCAATTTGTTTTCTTTCTTCCTTTTATTTTTATCATAAAAGCAATGCAGGTTTCTGATAGCACATTCAGATAATATCCAATGTATTAAACAAAAGTGAAAACCCACACCCTCCTCTACAACTGATCTTCCAGAAATAACGTCTGGTGTAAGTCTGCAGTGAAGCAAATATTGCTTGATTGTTCACCAACATGTGTTCCTTAAAATCTTTTACCTTGGGCCTGGCATGGTAGCTCGTGTCTGTAATCCCAGCACTTTGGGAGGCTGAGATGGGAGGAGCACTTGAAGACAGGAGTTTGAGACCAGCCTGAGCAACATAGTGAGACACTGTTTCTGCAAAAAATAAAAAACTAGCCAGGTGTAGAGGTGCCCACCTATAGTCCCAGCTACTCAGGAGGCTGCGGTGGGAGGATCTCTTGAGCCCAGGAGGTCGAGGCTGCAGTGAGCCAAGATTGCACCATTGCACTCCAGCCTGGGCGACAGAACAAGACCCTGTCTCTGAAAAAGAAAAAAAAAAAATCTGTTACCACAAGACTTCAAATTCCACTGTTTCTGACACCCTCTGTTCATGGATTCTCATCTGGAGTCTCTACCACCCCCTACTTAACTGCCTCCAAATCACTACCAGTGTCTTCTATTACTGTTTCTTCCATCCGGGGCAGCTTCAGGAGTCATCTCAGGCTCTCTCGTTCCTTCCCAACTTCCCTTCCCCTTCCTTCTTTGGTAACTTCAACATCTGTATTCTCAGCTCACTGCAGGATGTCAGCACCCATGTCCTCACCTCACGGCCTTGCTGGGCCCCAGAGCTTGCGCAGGGCTCTGCGTGTGTTCCTTCTCCCTGCTCCATCCTCACAGTGTCTCTAGATATCAGGGCCTCTGGCCTTACCTCTTCCATCCACCCTCGGCTCTCCCTGCCCTGCTGCATCCACACTGCCCTGACCCCTACCGGGGTGACCCCTACCTATGACCTTTGCCCTCTGCAAATCCACTCTGGGTCCTCTCATGGTCTGCTTCCTCAGCATCCACTTTAGGGTGCAGGCACTCATGGAGAAAATGCAGAGAACTAAGAATTC